GTGAAGCAAGCATGGGAAAGTTTTGTTGTTAGACAGTGGTATTTGTGAGACAGTCTTTGCTTAGAATATACATTTGCCTTCCTGTAAAGCCTATCTTTTTCTCTGAGGTCATGGAGCTTCCTAGAACAAGCAGTAAAGTAAATGATGTTTGAGGGTGAAAGAAATGTCACAGTACATATTATTTTAAATCAAAATGTATCTGAGTCCCCATCTTGCCACCTACCAGGAAATTCAGTCCCAGTTCTTTGCTGAGGTTACACAAGATCCAGGAGAATTTCCTGTGCCCAGAAGATACAAGAGGGACTCTTGTCTTCAGTCCATCGTGGTCACTGCTGATTTCCTTAGTGACCAACTCTAAGGTGTCCTTTGAAGGCAGATGGTACAACAAATTGCAGACTTTGCCCTGGTAATAGTTTCTACTACTGGAAATTCCAGTGCCTAGAGTTCAACCTGTTTTGTACTCCATGTAGTCATTCCTCTGATTTCTTTCTGGAGAATGAAGCTCACATTTCTGCCATTCTCAGAGCCTACTAACATCTTTTTTCCAACTAGGGGAATTTCTCTTTTCTAGAGTTCAGAGTTGTGGGAAAAAGCAAGGAGAAAGATTGTTTGCAAGCAACATGTTTTCCATTCTACAACACACATCTTCCCTAAACACAAAGACCTGACTTAGAAAAAAATAGGTAAACAAAATCCAGATCATTGGAAAGAATAAGTCTTACAACTTCTCAAGGTATCTCAGTTTTATTTGTAAATTGGGGAAAATAACGTTGTGAAGATTGGTTTATAATTAGTGCAGTGCTTTTAACAGCAGTCACTTAACAATGGTAGATAATATTTGCAATAGACTTGTTTTATCTGCCTAATCGTCTTTCTCTGTGACCAGCCTATTTTCCTTTTGAGGGAATGCATCTTCCCCAACTGTTGTAGCCAAATACACCCAAAGGGTGCTGCCATCTTATGATGAAGACCTACGTGCCTAACCGCAATGACAAGCTGGGTAAAGGGTAGCTAATAGTATCCTACTTCCCTGGCCATCGGGACTGACTGGACAAGGGTTAAGCCCGTGGCTCTAGCCATGAATATATGTAAGCCATTAAGTGCCATGAAGGAAAAGGATACAGGGATCCGACGTTGTCAAAGAAGCTGAGTCTAAAGTCGTTGAACCTTGGACAAGTCATTTTTCCATTTTCAGCCTTGAATTTTCCCTTCTGTAAGACAAGAGGATTGAGTGAGAGATTCCAGAAGGACCATATCTGGGCTTTGGCAGCCTATTCTCACTCACCTGCTTCATTTACAGGCTTCCAGTTGCTCTGCAGAAGGCTCAGTGTGTGCAAAGTTCTGTTGTTGCTGCTGTACAGGTTAGAGTGCACCTGCTAATTTGTCTCTTTGCCAGTTATGTAGAAAAAGTAAAGGCAGTTGGGACCAGCTGCCAAGTGAGCACCAGCAAAAATTTGAAAGCCACTACAAGTTTGCAATTCTGAAATCCACAGGGCTCTGAAAACCAAGCTGCTTCTTGTCTAATTTGGCCACAAAATCTGACCTGAAATTCATGTCAAGACATTTTATTGTGGCCATATTTCCAGCCATAGGTTTGTTTGAGAATGTGCTGTGGATGTTTTTTGAAATACCGCTAGCCACAAGGGTTTTGGATGAGGGACTGTAGACCTGTACTATTACCTACCTGGTCATTAGCCAGCACTCTCTAGGGACAAAATATTTTCCCTATAAGGTATCTCATTTATAATCTCAACAGACCTACATTGTATCATCCTTATTTTACAAATGGCCAGTTTAGAGGTTTAGCTTCCCACAGATTATACAGTAATGGCCAGATGAAGAGGAGAAATCTTGAGATGTGGCTGGATTTGGATGAGCGGGTATGGAAAAAGGTGGTATGGTATTTTAAAAAGCTGTAAATATTTTTAATGGGAGGATTCTGAATAAGATTTTAGGCTATCCCTTGGTTGAAATGGAGGAACATGAGGTATAGTTGGAGATAAGGAAATGCAAGGCCAGGCACTGTGGGCTTTCAGCTCTTTGTTCTGGAATATTTAGAAGGACTAATAAACAATGTGGCATCAGATGTGCAAGCATGAGATGATTCCACTGCTTTCCCCATTAAACTTATAGGATATACCTTGTGAAGACTAGCATGGATATAAATGACAGTGGTTCAGAAACACTTCCTAAGTTTGTCACATAGATGATGAGTTGACTTTTTGACAAACTTTATGGAAGGAAATAAAGTGATACTGCTAGCATTCATGCCACAAAAATGGGACTCTGACTCTCTATGGAACCCAGTGGGCAGCTGGGACTCACGCTAGCAATGTGGTCATTGACAATCATGTAATTGTTTCTTCTCTTCTCCCCAGCCTCCCCCAAATCAACCTGTTTTAGAGAGTGGGAGAATGTGTAGGCAATGTGGTCATTGACATCCATGTAATTGTTTCTTCTTTTCTCCCTAGCCTCCCCCAAATCAACCGGTTTTGGAGAGTGGGAGAATGTGTAGGTATAGGATTACACAAGCAATGGGAGATGCTGTTTTCCATAATTTAACCAGGCAACCCTTTGAAGAAATAAAAGTTTTCAAAAATCCCAGAGTCAGAGCTCCCCCAAAAAGCAAGTAAAATGGTACCCTCTACCAGTGATGCAGTACCTGGATGAAAACACATTTATACTACTATTCAGTGGAATGAGGGACAGTACAAAGGGCAACTCAGGATTTATCCCCAAAGGTAGAATAGAACAATCACTGGAAAGAGTAGCCAGAGTTAGGCCCTAAGCAGAAGAGACAAATGGTTATAGGCTATGCTATAACCTATATGCTAGTATGTTTAGTGAGTAAGGGAAGAGACACTGTGCTTGGATGTGGGTGTATGATGGGGAGGAAAACAACTCGGCCCTCCCCCTCGGGAGGCTTACTGTCAGAGGGGGAAATAGTCATGCAAAACCAAATGGCACCTGGGACAAGTGCTATGAGACTTCTTTAATAAGGGGGTCTGGTCACTTTAAGTCCACCACTCAAAAACTACCATTACTTTTGGTATATGGCCTTCATTAATTTTCCTAACTATACATATACACGAAAATAGATCCCTTTGCCAAAACTGGTATCATTCTGTTCAAAGGTATCTACTACGACTCCCATCTGCTGCAATCTTGAGTTGTTTTATTTTCTAAGCTACTAGCACTAGATACAAGAATTTTGTGGCCAGGTGTGGTGGTCACACCTGTAATCCCAACACTTTGGGAGGCTGAGGCAGGCAGATCGCTTGAACCCAGGAGTTTGAGACTAGCCCGGGCAACACAGCAAGTCCCTGTCTCTACAAAAATAAAAATAAAAAAAATTAGGGCGTGGTGGCCCACACCTGTGGTCCCAGCCACTTGGGAGGCTGAGGTGGGAGGATCCCTTGAGTCAGGAAGGTTGAGGCTGCAGTGAGCAGCAGTGATCATACCACTGCACTCCAGCATGGGCAACAGAGCAAGATGCTGTCTCCGAAAAACAAAAAAAATTGCAGATGTAGTCCACATACGGTCATAGTGTGTTTTTTTAATGCAAACACTTGTCTACTAACACTAGAGGCAAATGCGCAGGACAACAGAAGAGGCCACACAGCAAAGCAGTTCACAAAGCTTATAAATCAGGCTGTTCGAAAGCTCAAAACCACCAGCCACCCAAGTAAATTTCTGTCATGTACAAATAGATGCTTAGAGGGGATTGAGTACCTTTCAAAAATAAAAAAGGATATACTTAGAATGACTGGCACCACTATTATCTCCTAAGCAGAACTAGTTTCTCATGTTCACTAAGCTACAGCACAGCTGATGACAAGAGTAGACTAAGGGACTTGAAAAGTCCCTCTTGGGAACAAGTTCTTAACCCGAATCTAGATTTTCTGGTCAAGAATTTAAAGTGGCTCAGATCAATCTGTGCTGATGCAGTTCTCTACCTGATCTTATTTCTGGAAGAAACTACCCCCAATGCAAGGCCCATATGTTTCCTTTTTTAAAGAGTTTAAGCTCAGACATGGTGGCTCACGCCTGTAATCTCAACATTTGGGGAGACTGAGGCAGGAGGATCACTTGAGCCCAGGATTTCCTGACTGGTCTGGGCAACATAGTGAGACCTCGCCTCTACAAATAATAACATAAATTAGCTGAGCATGGTGGTGCACACCTGTAAACCCAGCCACTCAGGAGGCTGAGGTGGGAGGATTACCTGTGTCCAAGGAAGTCAAGGCTGCAGTGAGCCATGATCTTGCCACTACACTCCAGCCTAGGCAGCAGAGACCCTGTCTCAAATAATTTTTTAGAAGTTTATATATTCATCATATTAATACAAAGTCCATTTAATTTCAGGGACCATCTAATTTTGCTAATGAGTGAAACCATTTATTTTAGAACTACCTGAACTCTACAAATATAAACTCCAGTGTGCAGAAAAACATATTTAGCCAACTCTACATTCAATCATTCCTGTTAACAACGATGAGAATACCAAAAAGTGAAATGTTCTATAACCAGGCCAAATTTGCAATAGGCCTCCTCTCTTCCAAACTTCAGAAAATCAGGAGATTCTCCACCTAATAGTAGTGCTCATGGGACAGTAAATGACAAGAAAAAGGGGATGAGTCCTAAATAATCCACAGCTGTTATGGTAGAACCAGCTCTGCAGGAAATATTTTTTTAAAAGACAGAATTTCTTAGGGAAAGTCATGCATTTCATGTTGGTTAATTCCAGCAAAGTTTGACAAAAGAAAAATCTTTAGCTACACCTATATGGCAAAGAGGAAGGTAAATTCATTCTCTTGAGATCATGCCTATTCCTTTTTGCTGTCTCTATACTCAGCATATACTTCTACCATTAACACTTACCTGCTGCCTTCTTGAAGAATAGGGCATGCCACATCTCTGAAGCCACAAGCCAAGCATAGTACCCGGTACAAGTATAGGCCCAAATGTTTGCTGGATATTAAGAGTATATGGAAACATAATGAAAGCTTGTCATCACTGATATTTAATTGTGAAACCATCACCATCAATTTGGACAATTAGAATCCATCTCCAGTTTACATGGCAATTCTTCGATACTCTTCACAGAATAGCCTTTAAGTGTGTTCAAATTACTTACTACTCAAGAGCAAGGAAAATGACATTTAAAGTACATTATACATTCTATAATTCTTTATACAAACTAGTATAAAGACAAACTGAAATTAAAAATAATCATATTCAGAAAAGGAAAAACACGTCCGTATAGTTGTCAAAAGATCAGCACAATACTAAGGGTACATAACGAGTTTATGGAAAACTGCTATTAGAAAAGAAAGAGGTTAATCAGATATGCAGATACATGAAAACAGTCTATAAGTGGATGGATGGATGGGTGGAAAACCCTTTAAGATTTTGCAAAGGATGAACTTGATACTAAAGGGAGTTAATTTTTATGGTAAAAAGTTTTATCAGTAGAATTATGTGATACAGAAAAAGTCATTTTGAGAGAAAGTCATTTTTAGAATAAAAGGTTAAAATTTGGAAATTCGTCCTCTTCTCTGTTACATGGTTTTCCACACTGGCATTTTTCATGAATATGGATTATAGTTGGGAAAACCTTGTATCTCTGATTTGGTATTCAGTTACACACCCCTAGGGTCATCACACGTGTAAATATTGCCTATGGAAATTCCCCAGCCCTCCGTTATTCCAAGTGCCCACTCCTAATTGTCCATTGATAGCAAAGCAAATATTGTGACAAAACAAGTTTTATTTTGCAAAGCATAATGTGATACGAACTCCACTACAAAATAAGGGAACAAATTATTTTTAAATTATATAATCCAGCAGAAGAGAAACAGTGAATGGAGGTCTAGGGACTGAAAGGATCTCTTGTGGCAAAGGGAAAGAAGACAAAAATACATCACCCAAGATGAGGTAAAGGGGACCAAGAACCACTGAAAAAGTAGTGCAATATGTCCAGGAATAAAAGAAACAGACTATATATATATATTTGCATTGTCAATAACATGCATCATTCAAACAGTCTCTTAATAAAAACTTAGTGAATTAATCTAATGAAAATATTCACACAATATTATGTAGGCAAGTATGTTTAAAAAAATATTTTAATAAGCATATTCAGAATGGCAGACGGGATGGGAGAAGGGAATTATTTTACAGTGCAAAATTACTATGCATAAATTTAACATCTAATTTGAAATTTTAAATGCCTATTTAAATATTCAAATACATTTTAAAGCTCAACAAACTTGTGTTGAACTGAATTGCCGATCCTGAACTCTATTTAAGAATACATCATGAAACAGAAAATACCCATTCCAAATGAAAATGATAGTGCTTTGTTGGGGGTGGGAATGAGGCGGGGAGACTAAATCACTATTAACAGACTTCTTTTCCCAATGCAGTTTGTCAAAAGTTCAAGTTCTGAAATGTACTAAATCTTAAGCAAATTAAATTCATGATATTACTAAAAATTTTTAAATAGTGCAATGACTTATCAAGTTATAGTGGCTGCATTAAGAACAAATTATTGTGTGAAATGCCTGTATTAACACAAAATACAATTAAATATTTCCTTACAAAAAGCTGAGCATTACGCATTATAATAGTGGAATGTCTCATTAGGTATATTTTTAAAAGATTAAGAAAAGCAACATTTCCTAAAATGTATACATGTGCCATATTTGCCAACATGCCTGAGAATTTACTTAAAACGTTTCTGTAGTAAGAGTTTGCAAGAACTTCACAAATCCGCAAATAAAATGCATCTTTTTAAAAAGGTGAAAATGGCATCTCCAACACTGCAACAATTCAAAAAGCACAGCATCACTAATCTTTAAAAACATTTCTATATACCATCTTTGACAAAGAGCTAGGATACTTTGGATTCATTTAATAAAAAATGATTTAGAAAACAGATTGTGACCATCTGCTTGCTAAAGCTACTGCCATTCTGGATAAATTAAAGTTTTAAGTAAAACAAAACAAAAACAACAAAAAACTCACACTTCTCAACACTTCCACCCAAAATTCTGATTTACTTAGATATGTATGTAACAACAGTGAATGTACATTAATATGAAGTCAAGTGTTGCAAAGTGGCTTTTAACACTGTTTGGGGGAAAAAAGTTGTTCACATTGGTGAAGGGAAGCGGTCTCAACATATGTTAACAGTAATACTTCATGGGGGTAAGGCCTAAACGATAATTTCTCAGTGCAAACCTTCACTCAATTGCATCAGACAGTTGAGCCATTAAAAACAAGACCACAAAAGCTTTATTTTAAAAAGGCATTGGCTCTTGAACTGATGGCTGAAAAGTGAACTGGAAGAAGCATTTGGAGTATGCCTGTGTGAGAAAAACAAGAATTAATAATATTTTATAAAAGTTTGGATATAGGTTGGTCTATCAGCTATATAAAACTACATTTTTTAACAAGAATTTAGCACTAAAAATAAAATGGCACTCTTACAAGGCTATGCAGACGGATAATCCGATTTGTATTCACACAGAGCAATGATTATTGTGTATCTTATTTTCACTTTGGAAAAGCACTGTCAAATCTGAAAAACTGGATTGTAACTAGAAAGTCTGAGTAGTTTTCAAACTTCACTTTCTCTTCATAAAATCAATACTGCCTGCCCACAGTTGTTCCTTGTGTGCCAATATCTAAGTATCACTTGACCCCTCCTCTGTTTATTTAATGCAGAAATGGGAAATTTTATGATGCATATAAAAATAACAGGATTCTGGTCAGCATGATATATTTAAGCACTTAAGCTGACATTAAACTTTTGTCTTGCTTCAAAAATAATTTTGAAAATTATAGCAAATGCAAAACAAACTGCAATCTAAGCATCATGCTTAATTTCAGAATTCTCAAATTACTTGCCCTTAAGTAGAAATCTGAAAAAAAAACCAAATTTTTATAATCCTTTATGAATGCTTTTACCACCTGGATAAGAAATATGACTTAATTACTACACAAACACTTAAAAATTCATTAGAAAAACCTTAGCAAAATAAAATGAAAGCTGACAGACTCAGAATAACAATTCCTCTCATAAAAGTTTACCAACTGTACAAGTTAAGAAAATTATACAAGCTTTTGTATTAAGAAAGGACAGCTCAGTCAAGACATATGTACTGTAAAAATCTTTCAAAGGCTACAAAGAATCTGGAAAAATACAGAATGTATTTCTTCAGCCCAGATAAGAATATGGAAAGACATCATTGATGTCAACAATTTTACATATACAAACCTGACCTGGTTTATTTTTAAACTTCTATATATAAAAAAATCATGCTAGCATAATTTTCAGGATTCATAAGGGTTTCCTTAATAAAGATATTCAAATTGTTTGGTGAGAAAAAATGTCTGTTTTAAAGACATTTCAAGAAACTCAAGAGAAACTGGTATTAATTGGACTTGAGTTTTTTCCCATTCCTCCATCAAACTAAGCAAAAATTACCTTGTAGTGAAATTTTATGATTAGCATCAAATGAGAAAGTAGATATCTTTAGTTCATTCAAATTTACCAAAATTAGTAAATTTGAATGAACTAAAGATATTCAAATGAGAAGGTAGAGATATATCTTTAGTTCATTCAAATTTACTAATTTTTAAAATACCCTTAAAAGAGTCTGATAGCTTTAAAGTAAAAAAATCTGCAAAAGGCAGAATTATGAAACTTCATTTCCTAAAGTTAAGACTCAATTCAAATTTTCAAATTGCTTCAAGGAAATCAACTTTTTAAGGTAACCCATCAACCCTGAAAATTTTAGTCACACCAGAATTTACTCCAAAGAAAGTAAAATAGGTCTAAAATTTAGTCATCTGTGTTTTCAAGTTCTTCAAATTTCCCATGTGAGATTGCTTCTTGGAAAAATTCAGAAGAACCTGGACTTTCTTTTCCATTGCTGTTTACCCTTCGCCTTTTGGCAGGTCTCTCACTTTTTTCATCAAAATCATTTTCATTTCTTGCAGTCATATGGGCAAGTTTTGGGTCAGTGGTAAGGTTATCTGTTTCATAACCATTAGTATCCATATCTGCATGAAGTGGTTTCTTATTTCCACCTGTTGGTCCATTAATGTGTAACCCTTCAACTTTTACTTCCTCTTTGTTTAATATTTCACCTGGTCCATTAGATGACACTCCTAAATTGAAAGAAATATAAATGAAACCACAATTAGAAAAAAGTTAAATTTGCAAACTATTATAAAACAGCTTATTGTAAAGTTGTTATTGTTACCAAGGAAGCAAGGTATCAAATCTATATATACATAGTCTAAATTCTTGCTCTATTATTTATTAGCTATGTGGCCTTAGGCAAATTATTTACTCTTTCTGTACCTCCATTTCATTACATATATACAATAAAGATCAAAACAGATATTCCTCACAGGGTTGTTGTGAAAATTAAATAAGTTAATAAATGTAAAGAACTAAGAACAGAATTTGGCATATGTTAAAAGCATATTAGGTATATTTGACAGCAAATAAGCACTGGATCCAGCAGTCTAAATAAGCTGAATTAATGCAAAATGCAATAAATTACTCAGATTTAACAAAAGGTTTTCAACATTCTAAACCCACGTAAAAGCAAAATGAATGCTCTTTCTTATAAAAGCTTGAGAAACTGCCATATAAAGGCAAGATGTCATGGCTTTTTTATTCTTAATGTAAATCTATAGGAACTGTTTTAATCACACATGGCTGGGTGCAGTGGCTCACGCCTGTATTCCCACCACTTTGGGAGGCCAAGGCGGGTGGATCACAAGGTCAGGAGTTCGAGACCAGCCTGGCCAACAGGGTGAAAACTTGTCTCTATTAAAAGTACAAAAATTAGCCGGGTGTGGTGGCGTGCACCTGTAGGCCCAGCTACTTGTTGGGAGGCTGAGGCAGAAGAATGGCTTGAACCCGGGAGGCAGAGGTTGCACTGAGCCGAGACTATGTCACTGCACTCCAGCCTGAGCGACAAAACGAGACTGTTTCGAAAAGAAAAAAAAGATCACTCACTATTTACCTTAAGTAGACCCTAAATAATCTGTCATAATGTTAAAAAACTAATGCTGCACTATCCAAGCATATACTTGAAAGTGCTGAATTATTTACTTAAGTAAAATACAAATTACTTAAAAATACAAAGTCTTCTATAATAGGTGAGAAAAGTAAAAGCAAAATTATTCTAATAAAAGAAAACAAAAGTTTATTTTAGAGTTGACTATAAAATGGAATGCAAATGTTGGTGATACGTAAAATACAGGATGCATCACTGAATTACAATTTAATTGCTTGAAAAATATTCGGCATAAAGGATGCGCCTCAAATACTGTATTTTGATTAAAGAAAATATTCTATTTTGAACAACTCAAAAATGCACTCAAATCATGAATGCACATGGGGATTATACATCATAATATACTGAGGAGAACAATTCTGTAGGAACAAGTCCAAAAAGCCAGCTGAGACTGTGATTAGGTCAAAAATAACTATAAGATTTCAAAGTACTAATTAAAGCCCCATATAAAAAAGTAATACAATATTGGGATGAAAAGTTTCTTCCTTTCTTTGAAAAAGCTGGCGGTCTTGACTGTACATAATGTGAGTGGTTTTTGAGCTACAAGTAATTTGTAAGTAACTTATGAACACTTTCCTAGCCTAACAGCATGTTCTCATCAAACAGATTTTTAAAAAGGAAAAGAAAATGATTTATTTGGTGTTAATATGTTAAGAACAAACAGGAAAAGCAGTAGTAGTGCCAAGTGTCTGCCTCCCTAAGCCTATACCGTCAGTCCCAAGGTCAGAGTCTCAGCATCTTACTCTGCTTCAGAATGGATGTGACAGACATTAGATATTAAGTCAATAAACCTTGGAACAGGACATAGTTACTGGGCCCTAAGTTCTGTTTGTATGGTTTATTCTTAGAAGTAGTGAGGGAACAGAGAGGGGTTATGAAATGAACTAAGCATATACACTCCAGCAGTACCAATGTGAGACCAAAGGTCAGAAGAGGATCAAGGCTTTCACAGTGTTTCTCTTCCAGTTTCAGTCAGGAAGAAGTCAGCTCTTCACTGGTACTCTCCTATCACTAGTTTCCTCAGAGGAGCTGGGGGTGCAGCTTATTACTTTCTTCTTGGAACTCTTTTATTTAACAAGACCATTTAATCAAAAGAAATCAAAATAATTCTCTGGCTCTTACTATTGATCAGCACAGTGATCTCTGGTCCACTGTATATTTTAAACAGAAACACTATCTGAACCTCAAACAATTGGTATGCCTTTTTCTTCTCTTTTTCTTGGAGAGAAAAACAAGTATTTTTGTAGAATATTAATGTACAGGTTGATACTGACTTTATCTTTTCTCATTCTTCAAGGTTATTATGCTATCAAAGAGAACTTAAATATTCAACAGTGCACTTGTTACCTTACATCAAGGTATTTCATAATTATCTGCAGATCTCATGTGAAACTGCAGGGTTTTGACCTAAGAGTTAACATAAATACTTGTATCTAGCCATCAACCCAACTATATAGACAGGAAAAGAGATGCTACTGAAATAGAACACATTTCTTAGAAGAAATAGTCACTGTTGGTAGTATGCTTTATTAAAATTACTTTTTAGTGATGTCCAATCACTTTGTATTGTTAGTATATATGTATGCTGATGTTATGTACTTCCATGTGTTATCATTTTTTACTTTCTGCTCTGGAAGTTTAATAGAAACCCAAACTGAATTTCCCAAGTCACTGAAAGAAAGTGTCTCTTATTATGAAGAAAGAGAAATGTTTCTCTGGTTGCTTACCATTTTGATTAGTAGTGCTTACAGTGCCATCTTCTTTCTCAGACTGGCTGTTACTACTATTTGATGCAGTTGGGGGAGGGGATGGTGCTCGACTAGATGCAGCGCTTTCACTTTCATCTAGAAGACGATCCATGTAATCCCTTAAAATTAAGAAAACATTTTTATATTAAAAAGCTGAAAATTAAAAATTAGTTGAGGTTAAATTTAGAATGCTTTATTAACAAATATATCCTAATATTCACTTAACATTCATTCCAGTGCTTTATCTATCACATGAGGATCTGAATATTTAAATGATAAGCTCCTTTTGGTTATAGGAAAAATGCATAAAGGCTTTAAAGTAACAAATTTGAGAGACCCATAGGAAATTTTAAAGCTTGTAAAGTTGTAGGCAAGTGCTCAGAGTGGCCCAACTAGAACTAGAAGATCTCTTAACTGAAGTGATAGGGGTGATGTCTAGCAAAAGTACAAAAGAATTTCTGTACAAATACAGATTGAATTTTAAAGCTCCTAAAAGCAATACCTAAAAGACAAATTTGAGCCTTTTAAAAGGACTGATTACCTCCTAAAACCTTCCTGGATATTTTTGGTATTATATTTCTGCCAGATCTGAGCTGTAGGATGCTAACTAAATTCCTGGGATTATCTGCTGGTTTTACCCTGTCACTTTCTCATTGTATGTGAGCTCATTTCTTCTCTAAGTCATTCCTGAACTATGTAACTGTGGTTAAGTGACACAGGTGAGAAGATCTGGGATAGAGCCTTTTCTCTCTCAGGTTTAGTGTATTAGCTATAAAGTGTAGATAAATCATACCTCTCCTATCTAACACACATGGTGATGGTATTATATATGTACATAAAAATGTTTCATAATCCAAAAAGTGCTACTAAACCATTAGACTAAAAGTCAGCAAACTATAATATTTATTCTCTACCTCTTACAGAAAAAGTTTGCTGATACTAGATACTGCACTAGAATTCCCCAAGGACAGGGATTTTTAGTCTATTTTGTTTATACCTGCACCACTGGTACCTAAGGTGTGCAAGGCACAGAACAGAAAGATCAATAAAATTTTAATTGTGTTACTTATCTTAAAATTCCTTCAGCGTAAGCATGATAGAAATATTAAGACAAATCTCTTAGAATTTTGTGAGCAGGGTAAATAAGAAGCAAACAGTGGAAGCTCTGAGGAATTTCCTGAAAGTGTGTGTTAATAGTCTATAATATGCTATTAATTATATTTATCTCAACCTATATGGTCATCACTGTCTCCTAGGTTATAGGGATTTAACAAATATAGGGATGTGATACCTGACTTCAAGAAACTTCTAATAGTCTGAGGTATAAAACCAATACATACTTACAATTTACATTCTATGCCTTATTTTCCTCATCTATAAATGAAGGGAATTCAATTAGATGGTCTTGAAGACCTATAAATCTATATAGAATTAAATTATATGGTCTTGAAGACTTCTTGAGCTTTATGCTATTCATCATAATTATAGAAAAATTACATAAACAAATTTGAAGCACACAGACATAAGTGTGATGAGTCCCAAAAGGACTTCAGGTGCTAAGGCTAACAGAAGATGCATGATGAGGAATTGCTGGAAATAAATATGTTATGGTGGGAATGGATGAGATGAAGGAAGTTAAAAGCCAAAGCAAGGCCTGGCATGGTGGCTCACACCTGTCATCCCAGCACTTTGGGAGGCTGAGGTGGGCGGATCACCTGAGGTTGGGAGTTTGAGACCAGCCTGACCAACATGGAGAAACCCCGTCTCTACTAAAAATACAAAATTAGCCGGGTATGGTGGCACATGCCCGTAATCCCAGCTACTCGGGAGGCAGAGGCAGTAGAATCGCTTCAACCCAGGAGATGGAGGTTGCAGTGAGCCGAGATCATGCCACTGCAGTCCAGTAGCCTGGGCAACAGGGTGAGACTCTATCTTAAAAAAAAAAAAAAGCCAAAGCAAAGGAAACAAGAGTTGATATCAAAATTATTTTTAATTTCTGGATATAGTCCATAATTCTGTGGAAGGATAGTAATTATTATCAATATTTCCTAAAGATTAACAGCATCCAGAATGTTCAGGAAAGGGCAGAATCAGACAAACCATCCAGAAAGCTGGGACAGCATTCGGGTAACCAAAGTTACGCTGAGTTAATTTTTAGTTTGTGGAAAAATTTGGAAAGCTGAATATTTTACAATGAAATCTCCAATAGGGCTCCCAATTCTTCCAGTAAATAGGGACACTATGTAGCAGAATCTTTCAAAGGCTGTTTGTAGGCAGAAAAGGGGAAGATGTGTTTCATTCTGGTGAACAAATGGAAGGTCAACAATTTAATGAAAAAATGAACAAATGACTTTCAGGATAATGTGCTCTGAATTACGGATTTTGACCTAAAAAGGAGGATGAGATAATTCACTCAAATTTCTCTCTGAACACATCAGCTTAATGTTTTATGAAGTCACTTAAAGTGCAGCTATTAACAGGCAGAGATGGTTCTGGAAGCAAATCAGAAAAATTTATCCCCATCTGGAAAGAAATGTACTATTTGGTCACTGCTTCTTATAGAAGACATAACACAGCTAAAAGGGAAGCGTCTCAGTACAAAAGTATGATTCTTTCAGTTAAATAAACTTTATTAAAAAAACCCAGTGGGGCTACAACTGAAGCCTACAAAACCATGGTATTCCTGCCTGAGGGGAAAAACATATTAGTTCACTTCATACCATTATACCAGGTGACCACTATTAAGATATTGTTTACTTTTAACTGTGGCCACTCTACCTACAGAATATTTAACCTTAAGAGTCATCAAAGTTACAGATAAAAGTATCTTCAAAAAGTTTTCAGAAGCTACAGGGAGATCATTAGAGAAATTAGAACATTTGGTGGCACATCCCTACCTAACCTGTTGAGCTTGACATCACAGAGGACAAACTAAGCCAGCCCACACTTTGGTGATGCTTTCTGAAAGAGAAAACTGGATGAACCATGGGTCTGACCCAGCATGGCCGTTCTTATGTGGTTACTGCTGATGATTACAGACTGACTGTAGCTCATGTGTGAACATTATTTCTGAAATGGTTGAAAAAAATAAAAGATGTTACTATTGCTTTTCCCTATATAACAGCTTGAAAACCATGACTATTTTAAGATATATCTGGAGACCAGATAGCTAGCTATATCTAATTCTACATTATTATGCTTGAATACTACTAATAAAAAAAATTAACTATAAATTTAATATTAAGCAATGAGATAAAATTTGGAACACTGCTATTTATGAAATTCCACCTTAGCAATCACCAGCTTTGAATAATGGGGGATGATGTACACAGTCCATTGTCCTGTGATTTCCAAGGGTGAATCATACCCATTTATTCCCTTTCAGATTATTTTACTGTGGGCTTTAGAGCATTTGACCTTCTAAGGAAGTGACCAGCAGAGATACCTACAAATGAACTTGACAAAGAAACAGTGCAATCTAGGACTCTGAAGAGCAAGATCTAATAAGCATACAAGCACATCTTTCTTTTCTTTTTTTTTTTTGGAGACGGAGTTTCGCTCTGTTGCCCAGGCTGGAGTGCAGTGGTGTGATCTCGGCTCACTGCAACCTCCGTCTCCTGGGTTCAAGCAATTCTTCTGCCTCAGTCTCCCGAGTAGCTCAGACTACAGGCGTGCACCACCACGTCCGGCTAATTTTTGTATTTTTAGTAGAGATGGGGTTTCACCATGTTTGTCAAGCTAGTGTCGAACTCATGACCTTGTGATCCACCTGCCTTGGCCTCCCAAAGTGCTGGGATTACCACAGTGAGCCACTGCACCCAGCCCAAGCACATCTTTTAAAGGTAATTATTTGGTCAGCTTTAAGAACATCTTTACTGGAGAACCTTGACTAAGTCACAGCTTTGCATTACTTTTTAATTCTGTAAACATTAGGGAATCATTAAGGATAGTACTGTAAAGTTAATTCCACCATAACAATCACCATTTTAAAGCAATTCATGAGAGAGAAGGGGTTCAATACTTTCTATTTAAGTAACAAATTGCCAGTGGTAGTGGAATGTTTCACTCCAAAGCTAGACTGAATGAGGTGGAAGACAATAAATTCTCTTAACATGGGAATAAATTAGGCATATCAGACATTTTACATAAAGAATGGATGTAACAACCCATATCTGTCACTGGGACTAAGCTAGAGTTGCATTACTAATTCTCAAATATTACTTGTTAGAGGAAAGATTCAGGAAAGCTAGGAAAAGGAAAGTCACCATATACATGTTTTTTTTTCCTCTATAAAAAACTGTATGCCAGGTGCAGTGGCTCACGCCTGTAATCTCAGCACTTTAGGAGGCCGAGACAGGTGCATCATTTGAGGTCAGGACTTCAAGACAGCCTGGTCCACACAGTGAAACCCTGTCTCTAATAAAAATTCAAAAATTTGCCAGGCATCATGGCGGGCACCTGTAATCCCAGCTACTCGGGAGGCTGAGGCAGGAGAACCGCCTGAAGCCAGCAGACGGAGGCTGCAGGGAGCCGAGATTGCACCATTGCATTCCAACCTGGGCAACAGATCAAGACTACGTCTCAAAAAAAAAAAAAAGATTAAATCTGTATGTGCTTATACTGAATGGAACTGAATTTAAGAAAAACATGGTTTCACAGCTGTTCTGATCCATTTCTTCTCAACGGTGTATTAAAAACATACATTCTAAACCTTGCTTTAATGATATGCTTGTCTCATAATATGAACTTAGTTTACAATATTTCATAAGACACTGAAAAGTCTAAATGCCTTATTTATGAAGATATAATAGATGGTAAAGTTTAATGTATATTACAAAAGCAAGATTGTATCGCTTCTCGGCCTTCTGGTTAAGATCAAGTATATAAAAGCAAGACTATCAAAATCATAACTCAAGAAAAATCTAGAAAAGCTTAGCAAAAATGTATACATAGCTCTTAAGAAAAAAATTAACTCACGTTACACCAGGATGAAGATTATATTTCTTTTTTCCAAATCGTGTTTGCTGAGCAAAGAAATCATAACGTTCAGATTTTTTCCACATGTAATAGAATGCTACACATTCACCAACTGACCTTGTTCGGACCTATAAGAAACAATTGCTTGTTTTTAAGAATCTCCTTTTTAACAAAGTTACCTCATGATAAACATCTGAAGTTCGAAAATAAATTTGGCTAGTCCTTAACTGATATATAATCCTATATATAAAATACAACACTGTAGCATCTATGTTGAAAGCTATTCTTTCTAAACGTCTATTAAGAGAAATAATATACTGGCAACAGGTCTTCAGATATATAGCACTGTGCTTTTTAAAAGGCTACCATCATCCTAATTTACTAGAAAAATATACTCCTGTATTAAAAATGCGTGGAAGTTGGCCAGGCGTGGTGGCTCACGCCTGTAATCCCGGCACTTTGGGAGGCTGAGGGGGGTGGATCACGAGGTCAGGAGTTTAAGACCAGCCTGGCCAAGACGGTGAAACCCTGACTCTACTAAAAATACAAAAATTAGCCCGGCGTGGTGGCAGGTGCCCGTAATCCCAGGTACTCGGGAGGCTGAGGCAGGAGAATCACTTGAACCCCGGGGGGCTGAGGGTGGGGACAGAGGTTGCATTAAGCTGAGATCACGGCACTGCACTCTCACCTGGGTGACAGAATGAGACTCCATCTCAAAAATAAAAATAAAAAAGCCTAGAAGTGGCATTCAGGTTAAAATAAATGTTATAAACAGTTTGCTAATACTTTTACTCACAGAGTACGAGTACCTAGAGAGTGTATCTTTAAATTCCCTTTTGATAGATTCTCTTACTAGTCCCAACAGCAATCCAGACTCAGTTAATTTACTCTCTAGAAAGTCTGGGAAGATGCCACAGTGAGTTAAAAGTATAATAACGCTAATGCTTTGCTTACTAAGTTAACTCTTGTGGCTTACTTTGCTGTACCTATTTGTGCAACTGAATGGTTCCCCTCACATAATGTTAAATGCCTGTGGAATTAAATGATGCTGACAGAATCCCTTTTTGCTACTTAGCCACCAGGAGAGCTGGTGGTAGGGGTGATGTGCATACATAAAATGCTGAGAATTTAGGGCTGATGTATATAAATAAAATACTGATAACTTTTTTCCTTTTTTTTCTTTTCTTTTTTTTTTTTGGAGACAAGAGTCATGCTCTGTTGCCCAGGCTGGAGTGCAGTGGCGCCAAACCAGTAACTGTAGCCTTGTCCTCCCAGGCTCAAGCAAAACCTCCTGCCTCAGCCCCTCAATAACTGGGACCACAGGTGCAAGGCACCACACTCTGGTAATTTTTCTATTTTTTGTAGAGATGGGGTTTTGCCATGTTGCCTAGGCTGTTCTTGAACTCCTGGGTTCAAGCAATCTGCCTGCCTCAACCTCCCCAAGTACTGAAATAACAGGTATGAGCCACTGCACCAGCAATACTAACAATTTAAAAGGAAATCCTGTGTGTGTATGTGTTTTGGATGCAACATACTTCTTCATCCCATAAATTTCTACTCTTGAAGTAAATATTCTATAGCACGGATTGCACCTGAAGGACAAGTGTTGATGATACCCTCCATTACCCAACATATATTTTGCTTTCTTCCTGTTTGCACTTTACAGCTCTGATCCATATTGCTCTGAGATTGACAGCAATCAGGACTTTTAAAAAAACCATCCTCTCAAGCTCTTTTTTTGTCTCCTCTAGGATCTTATTTCTAGATAGATTCAAGCTAAGTCAACTGTACTTTACTGAAAGCAAAAAGATAAAGTCATTTTGGGGCATGCAAAGTTAAGATTACAAAAAATCTTCAACAAAAGCCCTCATAATAGAACTTATGATTAAGATCTGAACTTTAATTCCAGATATAAAAACAAACCTGATATTTTCACTAGAGTACTCTTCTCCCTTTTAAAGAATTACTGTCCTCTTTTTGTTCACGAATTTAGTATATTATGTAGAGGTTGGCTGACTTCTACCTTGTAACATTTAAATGCCACTGTCCCAAATATTTATAAGAAATCAAGGTTATACTTTTAATACTTATGTTATTTGGCTCTAAGTTTCAAGTCACCTAGTAATTTCTTAGCTCCTTTAAAAAAATCATATTGGTCAGGGTTGTTGCTGCTGCTTGTTACATCAGCTATCATTCCAGGAGTCCCTTCCTTAGGTAATTCAGCATGGTTTGGTTTAGAATGTTTTAATTCAAGCAGAAGTGCTCAACAACAACAACAACAACAACAACAACTACAACAAACCTCATCCAAAAATGTTGTCCCTTTCAATCATGAAACAATGAACTTTTTTCTTTTTTAATCAAAAACATACATGGCCAGTCACATAATGCACCTTTTCTTGAATGTTAACTATATTTGAGGTTATCAGATGATATGAACACAACATTAAGGGTATACAATTTTGAAACTACATTGTCTTCTAAGTTATCCTAAACGCTAAAACTAAAAATTTATCTATTAGTGTTATCTGCGGTAAACTGCCAACATTCAACAAAATAATTAAGAAAGAACTAGCTGGGAGTGGGGCTCTTCACTGCCCAGTTCCTGCTTTTTTTTTTTTTTTAAAAAAAAACAGAACAACAATAAACTAGTTAATGCACGACAAAATTTAAGAAATGAACCCACAGGGTTTGTAAATAACTTTTATTAATAACAAAAAATATTAAATATGTGTCAAAAAAATCAACTGGATACAATCCAATCACACCCAGATGTATAAAAAGACAGATGTGGTAGAAGACTATTCAGAGCCTCAGATACAAGCCCAGGTACTTTCAACAAGGTCGTGGACAAGCTACGACACAAAACTTAGAAGCTATCTTTAAGGAATTACATAAACCAATACCCTTGTCATTTCTACTAACTAAAAATAATGTGATAATCATAAGCCTAGGAATTTCCTACATTTAATCCCCAAGACTTTAATTCTGCCTGTCCTAATCTGTTGTCCTAATGTGTTACTCATGGAAACAACACATTTTTCTATTCCATATAATTATATAGTTACTATTAAAAATCATACCTAATTTCAGTTATAAGAATTAAGCCCTAAAACAAATTTGTAAGTAATTATAAAGTTATTTGGAGTATAAATTACATGACTGATATTATCAACATGAAATGATAAACGATTATGTTAAATAAAATCCTCAAACTATAAGAATATAAAGCTGATTTATTGACACAGAAGCTTCTACAAAATTAAATTAAATGTTGACTAAAACTAAGTTAAATATTAAGTATTTGATTTTAGACCACTTGGGATTTAAGCAAATGTAATAAATATTTTAATTGCAAATAATGTCATGTTGAAAGTGCCTTAAAGTTTCCAAATTATTTCAAAGGCCCTCCATAAAATATTTAGTCACAGACTGTGGACAACAGCTATAAAGAATTGCATTGCACATACACACCCCAACTAGAAGATGATTAACATGCTTGTAAATGAGTGCAATTCTTAAACACCTGCAATATGATGCACTGAAAACAGTCACCAACAGGTAATTATAGGTTAGAAAGTATAGGCAGCTTTACTGTAATTACTCACTAAATACCAAAATATTGTCATATTAATGATGAAACCTTTAACACTAGACAACATAGCAAATTAAGACACATGACCATTTGAGTTGTTCAACTAAATTTCTTTTTGCAAAAAAGAGATTATCATTACTTACTTTATTAGCCTGAATCAAATGAAAATCCTTTCCATAGGCCTTCAGACCTTGTTCAAAATTTCTACACTCTTCCTCTGTCCAAACAGATAATTCCTCTGACAAGATGAGAGGAACAAACTGTTAAGCAATATTCCCCCAAATATTGCATAAAACAAAACTACAAATGAAAACTTAACTTTCTGGTAAAAATGAGGGAAACATTTTACTCCTGAGCTCTATTACTAATTGTTGCAAAAGATAAAGTGACAACAATTCCTTATTTAATAAGATTTTGAATGATTTGGTCCCTACCTCTCAAGCTTCAACTTGGGCCACTGTCTTCTTAAAGCTTCATGATCAAACTATCTTAGTCACCTTTCAATTCTTTAAAATTGTCACGTTCTCTCTTACTTCAGACTTTGTGCATGGTGTCTCTCCTTTGCCTGTAATTATTTCTTGCCTCCACCTCATCCCCTTTCACTGAGATAATTCTTTCCCATCCCAACACAAATATCACTTCATTCTGAATGCTTTCCCTAAAAGCACTACCCTCTCCCCCAACTAGGTTAAGTCCCATTACTACAGGTTTCAATAGCACCCTCTAATTTTCCTTGAAGAATTCATCAGCTGTTTTCCAGTTTCCTTACCTAAGCTCTAAGCACCACAAGGGGAAGGGACTTTGCTTATAGTTACATCCTCAGAACTCAGAAGGCACTCAAATTTTTGTTAAATAAATATCTCTCATTTGTTACTTAAATATATATAAGTAGTAATCTTAGTGAAGGGGGGTAGGAGCCAGATTTAGTATAAAAAAGAAAAATCCAAATTTTAGTCATGGCTTCATTACTGATGAATTATGTTTGCTTTAGCCAAGTTACTTCAGTTCAGAGATCTCAGGCTCATCAACTTTTACCTTTAAGTAAAGGTATTATCTGTCATACTACCTAGTTCACAGGGCAATTATCAAGATCAAATAAGAAAATATTTATAAATATGCCTTGAATGCATAAGACAGTATAAATTTTTACATTTTTACTTACGTGATCGTATTTTCCCACAAAGAAGGAACAGTCTTATACCCCCATAACGACTTGTATAATACTTGGTATTTTGTAAATATTTATCAAACTCAGAAAAATCAGTATTATTAAGTTTAGGCTATTATACCTAGGTAAACTGAAAAGCTTACTTTTAAAATTTCTGCCAAATCATGAAAATAAATAAAAATTATACTTACCTCTAGCTGCTTTTACATTAAATCTTAATCTTCTCAATGCTTCTTCTGTATCAAAATTGCATTTAACCAATTCATATAAAGCCTAGAAAAATAAAAGGCTTGAATATGTGACAAGGACTATAAACAGTTCAATGCTACAAGAGTAAAGGTTTTTCAAAAATCCAGTGTTCTCATTCTTTTTGAGGGCAAATAACTTTAGTGACTAGAACTTCAAAGAAAAACAAGTATGAATTCGATTCTGATAAATTAACTACCTTTAAATATGTACAAAGTAGGATATGTAAAAACTTGGTGGCCATAGTATCCAAGGAACTAAAAGGAATTCATTTTATATCAATGAAAATCCCTTCTTTGTGGCTTCTTGAGATTCCTATAATTTTAAACAAATCAGAAAAAAAAACAATGATTAAAAAGGTAAAAAAGATAGGTTCATGGTAGGCTCTGGTCTTACCATGTACATAACATTATCTGAGGTGAGAATTCCAACTTGATATCCACAGATTCTTAAGGATAGCCAAAGCAATTTTAAAAAGCCTAATGAAAAGTATATACAGGCAAAATAAAACATCAGGTTTTTGTTTCGGTTTTGAGCTTCACACCAATGAAGTCAGTGTGGTAACAAGGGGTATCTTACAGGGATTATAACCTCAGATTCCCTGTTGATAATGTTATAAAAAATAGGGTGGACAGAATAACAACAATGCAAGTGACAGCATTTACATGTATAAATGTGTATGGCAAAGTTCTAATAGTTGTTTCTTATTCACATACCTGTTCGTTGTCTTTTATGTGAGATCCTTCAGGAATTGCTTCTACACCCTTCTCATCACCTGTTCTTCTAGATGCATCTTTAAGAAATATAATCACTTTATCTTCTGGTAAGTACTCAGGGTCCCATAGGAGCTGATCATCATTTTCATATACTAAATTAGTAAAAGACAGTGTTAAAAAAATTTCTAAAAACTGACAGAGTCTGTGTTAAAACATATTACTAAATAAACAACTCAGAGCCAAATGTTGAGAACTGAAGTATAGTGTGGTTCTACTGCTTGCCTGACTTCTTTCTTGGGCAACAACTATAGTTTAAGTGAATTAAACAATTTAAACAAAGAGGAGGTACCACTTTATGCCCCCTGCAGATCCAGTCTGACTTTATCTTGAGTTTACCAAATTCCAAGCTCTCTAGGTTTGAATACCATCTCTACCATTTACTATGTGTATGATGACCTTGGGCATATTACTTCCCTTCTGTCTCATCTGTGAAAGGAGGTAACAGTAACTCTACCACATAGTTTTAAGGATTTAAAGCACTTTACAATCATTCTGGCACATATTAAAATCCTATAATTGTAACTGTAACTACTGTTTTTGAAAAAATGTCTAGAAGAATGCTCACCAAATGTTAACACTGCTTAATTCCTGGTGGTGGGATTTGAGGTAAATTTTACTTTATATTTTCTGTAATGCTTGAGTGTATAATGTGTATAAATCACTTTCACAAAAACAAAAGTCATTACTTTTTTAAAGGTATTTAAGTTTCATCATAATTTCCATTATAAGATTAAAGCCTAAATCTAATTAAAACTCAAAAAGTAAGGAAAGGAGGATGACCTAAGACAAACTCTGTGGAATTCTAAATGGTAAGAAGAAAACATGGATAAAATTTGAAAGTCATAAATAGAAGAAATACCAAGAATGTAACCTCACAGACGCTAAAGGAAGAGAGTGTTTCAAAGAAAAGCTTCAAAGACTGGTTAAATTCTGTTGAGTGATGAGGATGAAAACTGAAAATGTTATGCCAGCTTTACTAACAAGGAGGTGAATGCTGTGAGAACTTTCTGTAGAGAGATAGAAGCAGAAGCCACACTGGATAAGATTGAAAATGGAAAGTGAAGAAATAAGACTATTGAAAAGTTTAGTTATGATAGAGATAGGGGAGTAGCTAGAGAGTAGAGTTGAAAAAAGTTTTTATGTTGTTTTGGTTTGTTTTCAAAGATGAGGCAAACGTGTAAATGCCAACAGGAAGGAGCCAGCCTGAGAAACATTTTGACTTTAAGAGACCAAGAATAACAGTGTCAAAGTTTCTTTTATTATGAAAAGAAATTAACAGCTAATTAAGCATATCCTATGTACCAGGCAATGAATTTTTTTTTTTAGATGAAGTCTCGCTCTGTTGCCCAGGCTGGAGAGCAGTGGTTCGATCTCGGCTCACTGCAACCTCCGCCTCCCAGAGTAGCTGGGACTACAGGCATGTGCCACCACACCCGGCTATTTTTTGATTTTTTAGTAGAGACAGAGTTTCACGTCAGCCAGGATGGTTCTTGATCTCCTGACCCCATGATCTGGTTCTCGATCCGACCCCGTCACCTGCTCACCTCAGCCTCCCAAAGTGCTGGGATTACTACAGGTGTGAGCCACCGTGCCCAGCCGTATTATTTTCACACAAATTATCATGTCTCCTCACCCACACACACTTCAAAACCTTCTTCTATCTTTCCTTGTTTCCCAAAATACTTTTGTTTAAAGTACAGCTCAAAGGAAAATATTTAGAAAATTTTCCTTAATAAACATCATTCCTTTTCTAATCTGCTGGTACAATCCTAGTTATACCCTAAATTATAAATACAATAAAACTACCATGATAAAATGAATCTGGATATACTGCTATTGATTTCTATTCTCTGCTCAGCCTCTGTTCTCTGCAGACTAAATTATATTCTTATATAATTTATATTCTTATATAATATACTTATATTCTTGGGATCTTCAGGGTAGACAAGGCCATACAAGGAAACCCTAACTCGGAAATAATTCAGCCACCTATTCACTTAGGCACCAAATGTTTACTAAGTGCCTATGGGGCAAGGATCGACCTACTTACTAGTAAGGCTACAAAGATGAGCAAACAAAAGGTTAAAATACACTGTTGTTAGTATAAATGATAACTTACATGAATTTAGGAAAAAGTTAAGTGTAGCTTAGGAGATTTTGTAACTAAAACAGACAAAAGTCCAAAGGAGCATGCCTGGAATGTTGTTATAACTAACAAATCATGTTTATTTAACTGTCTGAATTAGGAGTGCTAACCAATGAAGAATATATAATCTGCATGGAGAATAATAAAAAAAGTCGGATGGCAGAGAGAAAAAATTTGTGTCTCTCCAAGATACTAGGTAAGGAGGTTTCCATGTATCAATGAAAAGGAGAATTCTGATCCATTCGTTAAGTAATCCCTACAATAAAGATATCAGGATATCTTAGTTTTGTGGCACTTAAAAAAAAAAAAGTCTGTGCTCACGAAACTCATGAGAAACATCTTGTGAAATGTTTTCCACAAGAATGCACTCATCAGCACTGTCCCTTTGACAAGTTTTATTCCTAACAGCATAGTTTACCTAATAGTGTCACGAATTTGGTTTGTAGTATAGGGTATCCTAAGTGGAGACAAATTCCGGGTATCTTGACAAAAGTTTGAGTTTGAGGAGTGCCCCTTTACCACAGCAATCCCTCCAAAGCAATCTCATTCTGCTAAGTTTAGTCTATCCTCCTTACACAAACTAATATACTTAAATTCTCAAAAAGAGAAAGCTTCATAAATCACTCATTCCTGAAAAAAATTACATATGTATACTTTCTAAAATCATGTTAAAATGGAAAATATTAAGTTAGAATTTAAACCATGAAAAAATCAGAACAATTAGACAAGAGAAAGATATAAAGGCAATCCAAATTAAAAAGGAAGAAGTCAAATTATCCCTGTTTACTGATGATAAGATCTTATATTTGGAAAAACCTAAACACTCCACAAAAAAACTATTAGAACTGACAAATTCAGTAAAGCTGCAGGATACAAAAATCAACATATAAAAATCAGTAATATTTCTATATGTCACCAAGTCAACATTCTGAAAAGGAAATCAAAAGACTAATCCCATTTTAAACAGCCACAAATAAAATCAAATACCTAGAAATTAACCAAACAAGCGAAAGATCTCTATAATGACAACTATAAAATATTGACAAAAGAAATTAAAGAGGACACACACACACACAAAAAAAGGAATGATATTCCACGTTCATGGATTCAAAGAATCAGTGTTGTTAAAATGTCCATACTACCAAAAGCAATCTACAGATTCAATGCAATCCTTATCAAAATACCAATGACATTCTTCACAGAAGCAGAAAAAAAGTTCCTAAAATTTATATGGAACCATAAAAGGCCCAGAATAGCCAAAGCTATCCTAAGCAGAAAGAATAAAACTGGAGGAATCACATTACCTGACTTCAAATGATACTACAGAGCTACAGTAACTAAAACGGCATGTACTGGCATAAAAATAAGACATACAGAACAGAACACAGGACCCAGAAACAAATCATATACCTACAGTGAACTCGTTTTTGACAAAGATGCCAAGAATGTACACTGGGAAAAGACAGTCTCTTCAATAAATGTTGCTGGGAAACTGGATATCCATATGCAGAAGAATGGAACTAGACCCCTATCTTTTGTCACATTCAAAAACCAAAATAGATTAAAGACTTACATCTAAGATCTCAAACTATGAAACTGCTACAATAAAATACCGAGGAAACTCTGCAGGACACTGGACTGAGGGCAAAGATTTCCTGAATAATACTCCACGAGCACAGGCAACCAAAGTAAAAATAGACAAATAGGATCACATTAACAAGCTTTTGCAGAGCAAAGGAAACAACAAAGAAACAACCTACAGAATGGGAGAAAATATTTGCAAACTACCCATCTTAGAAGGCACTAATAAATAGAATATATAAGGAGCTCAAACAACTCTATTGAAAAAAGTCTAATAATCTGATTTAAAAATGGGCAAAAGATCTGAATAGACGTTTCTCAAAACAATACACACAGATGGCAAACAAAGTGCCCATCAACAGATGAATGCATAAAGAAAATGTGGTACTTATATACAATGGAGTACTATTCAGCCATAAAAAAGAATAAGATCCAGTCATTTGCAACAACATGAATGGAACTGAAGGTCATTATGTTAAGCAAAGAGTCAGGCATGGAAAAGACAAACATCCCATGTTCTCACTTATGTGTGGGATCTAAAAGTTGAAACAATTGAACCCATGGAGATAGAGCAGAAGGATGGCTACTAGAGGCTGGGAAGGTCGGTGTGGGAAAGGGGTGAGAGAGAGGTAGGGATCATTAATGGGTACAAAAAAATAGAATAACGCCTAGTAGTTGACAGCACAACAGGGTGACCATAATCAATAACTTAATTGTACATTTTTAAAGAACTAAAGGAGTATAACTGAATTGTCTGTAACACAAAAGATAAATGCTTGAGAGGATGCATACACCATTTGCCATGATGTGGTTATTACACATTGCATGCCTGCATCAAGACATCTCATGCACTCCATAATTATATACACCTACTATGTACTCACAAAAATTAAAAATTAAAACTAAGCATAAATAATAAGAGAATGTGATCATTCACTGTTGATATATGATAATACAAACATTAAAATAAAAAAGTATACTGCAATAAAACTATTTTCAACTATAAATTTATAATAATATAAATACTAAAATATAAACATAAAATAGGTGCTATTATCTTTCATTGTCAAAACTGAAAAGAAATTTAATAAAAAGAAATGTCTAACTTTCAGTTCTTCATTTATTTGCAGAAAGAAAAACCTCAATGGAGAACACTGCTAACCACTATATGAGTAAAGCATAAAACTGACATTTCAATTACAAAAATAAATACAAAAGCCAACAGATCATTTATTTTGGTACACAATTATGTGTTCACAGAACATATCATATGTACAGAATTTCCATATGTAATAAAGTCACTGCATATTGCTAGCTTCAATGTTCCTATATATTGCAGGAATTACCTTGAGAAATAAGTGGTAGCTATTAAACATTTAAATGACGTATTAAAACATATTGCTATCACAAAAACTGTACTGGCCTGTGATGTTCCCTTGACTGCCTCTGACCTGCTGCTTGCCCTGAGATAGGTGCATACTTAGAATATAAAGTAAGTTTTTGGAGAGAATGCTAAAAAGAAATAAACAACAAAAAACTTCTATTTATGTAACTCCAAAGGGTTTCGTGTATGTTAAGTTGAAATGTGAAGAAAACTGAAATAAAAGAAATAAATATTTCTAGTGCTGAGTGATGTCACACTGCACATGAACTCATTAAACACACACACATGGCCAGGCGCGGTGGCTTCATGCCTATAATCCCAGCACTTTGGGAAGCCTAGGGCAAATGACCTGAGGTCGGGAGTTCAAGACCAGCCTGACCAGCATGGAGAAACCCTGCCCGTACCACAAATACAAAATTAGCCAGGCATGGTGGTGCATGCCTGTAATCCTAGCTACTTGGGAGGATGAGGCAGGAGAACTGCTTGAACCCGGGAGGCAAAGGTTACGGTAAGCCAAGATCGCACCATGGCACTCCAGTCTGGGCAACAAGAGCTAAACTCTGTCTCAAAAAAAAAAAAAAAAAAAGGACACATACACAGCATTCTTTCTGGAACTCACATGAAGTGAATAATCTGAAACAGCCTCTTTAAAAAAAATCTTCGGCCAGGCGCAGTGGCTCACGCCTGTAATCCCAGCACTTTGGGAGGCCAAGGCAGGTGGATCACGAGGTCAGGAGATTGAGACTATCCCAGCACTTTGGGAGGCTGATGCAGGCATATCACTAGGTGAGGAGTTTGAGACCAGCCTGGCCAACACGGCAAAACCCCATCTCTACTAAAAAACACAAAAAAACTAGCTGGGCGTGGTGGCAGACGTCTGTAATCCCAGCTACTCAGGAGGTTGAGGCTGGAGAAACACTTGAACCCAGGAGGTGGAGGTTGCAGTGAGCTGAGATGATGCCATTGCACTCCAGTCTGGGCAACAAGAGCAAGACTCCATCTCACAAAGAAAAAAAACAAATACAAAAAACCAAAAACAACCCCTTCAAGTATTATGTTATTGTAAGCATGACTTACTTCAGGACTTTCAAATGAAATGAAAAAAAAAAACAAAAAAAAAAATGTAAAATTTAAGTATAGAAGTTGTTTTCCCAAATTATTTTTAAAACACAAACATCAAAGTACTCCATTTTTGCTTTTTTTTTTTTTTTTAGACGGAGTCTTGCTTTGTCACCCAGGCTGGAGTGCAGTGGCACGATACTGGCTCACTGCAACCTCCGCCTCCCAGGTTCAAGTGATTCTACTGCCTCAGCCTCCTGAGTAGCTGGGATGACAGGCGCGCGCCACGACGATGGGCTGATTTTTGTATTTTTAGTAGAGATGGAGTTTCACCATGTTGGTCAGGCTGGTCTCGAACTCCTGACTTTGTGATCTGCCTGCATTAGCCTCCCAAAGTGCTGGGATTACAGGCGTGAGCCACTGCACCTGGCCCAAAGTACTCCATTTTAATAAGCATTCCATTTTGCTTACTGAAAGTTTTAGGAGCAAATAAGCTTTTTATGTCAGTTACTCACTCTCGTTTGTTTTTATGCCTTTCACTGATATAAAATGGACGTTTAAAAACTGAATTATAAAGGTTAGAAAAGGGTTAAAGTTTAGAGCACTGAAAATACGGGGAAAAAGGTAAAAAAAACTGTTGAGATATTTTAAGTCACTTTTAAAACGAAAAAAAGCATTTGCTTTTTCCTTTTCTGGCTAGGCTTCTATAGACCAAACTGAAAAAACTGAGTAAACATATTCTTCTCACAGGAATAATGAAGGGTTCTCTTTCACAAACCAATGGGGTTACAATGAGGTTACTTAGTAGGCTGTCATGTTCTTATCACATTTTACACATGAAGTAACAGTTCATTACACTGAAAGCATAAATTCAGCTATGTAACTTTACTAATAACCCACCTTTTTCATTTTCTTTGTATCTACAAATGCCAACTGGAATTTCTGCTTGAAACATGGAGCCCACCATAATCTCCTATTTTAAAAATAACATAAAACATTAGTAAGATCTAGTAACAGATTTTATATCCATTTTCTAGCCTTACCATCTTAGTAAACTGTTCCTGGTTTCTCTGTCATAAAATACAAAAACAATTAACTACCTCAGAGGTACCTTTGTGAAGATGAATGACAAATAATGACTGGATGAAAATATTAGTAATAATAATGAGGTGAAATGCAACATAAACAATAAATACAAACTTTACTTCAAAATATAGAGACAAAGAAGTGAATTCTGATAACTTCATTAGTAAGATAACTGCAAAACCCGTAAAAAACAAAGTCAAATTCAGATATTTTCAGAGTATCTACACTTAAGACAGTGGTCTTAAAATATGATCCCTGTATGAGCAGCATAGCATCAGTGTCACCTATGAAATTTTTGTTTTTTTGAGACAAGGTTTTGCTCTGTCACCTAGGCTGGAGTGATCATGGCTCACTGCAGCCTCAACCTCCCAGGCTCAAGCAATTCTCTCACCTCGGTCTCTGAGTAGCTAGGACTACAGGCACATGCCACCACACACAGCTAATGGAAAACTGTTAGAAATGCAAATGCTAAGGTCCCACCCCAGACCTACAGACCTACTGGAACTCTGGGGACAGGACTCAGTCATTGGTATTTTAATAAGCTCTCTAGGTGATTCTGACATACACTGAAGTCTGAAAAACAGAGCTTCAAGTTAAGAAAAATAACAAAAAGGGTTTGTATAAAGCTCAGCAGGGGCCGAATGAAAGAAACTCTAAACAAAATAGATAAAGCAGGTTATGGTTTGACTTTCATTAAAACAATACAAAATGAAAAACCTCCTCCCACAAATATAATTAAATAGGAAATCTAGTAATCAAATCTATATAGTCAAATCACAGATTAGGTGAAACTGGCTGTTCTGAAAAGCAACTGGAAACTACCACTGGTGAAATTTCACAATGCAAGGAGACCAAGATTACAGTACCCTCTTTTGTCTGATGGCTAAATGTTAAGAACACACAGACATTTTCAAAACTGGGCATGGAAGGTACAAAATCATGGTCTAGAAGTTCTGATAACTCTTAGGATTTGGAAAATCTCTCTCCTGCTATTATTACCCCACTGATGTGAGGATCTCATTTTATCCAGTACAACTTCAAAGACATGCTTTATGTAATAAAGTTATTGCTATACCTAAAAGAAAAACCAATCCTTCTCATGATCAGTTTTCTAAAAGAATCAAACTTACAACAAATTTTCTCTACTCTTACAATGGAATTCTCTTTATGTCTTCTACTATAAAGAGTCCTTTATTGTCACATCTTGTGCCTCTTTTAATTTAATTCACCTATGACTACCAAAGAACACTGTCACATTACTAACCCTGGCTGGGGTGCTTCTAAACGATCAATGCCTGGATCAATCGCAGGACAATTAAATTAGAATCTATGAATGAAGGCCCTGGTAGTCAGCACCTCTAAGTTACCCAAATGATTCTAACATAAAAACAGGGTTGAGAACATCTGGATTAGTATAAAGATAGGTACTTCCTTTTTCCTGTTCAGTTCTGAACATTTCTTTTCATCTGTTAATTTGTTGTGTAGTACAGGGAAGAGAAGGGAAACAGCTTTGAAGATCATTATATGTAATGTTATCATATATGTAATTTTCCTTTAATCTTTCAAGCAAGCCCCATAAGGCTGACATTGTTATCCCTATACTACATGTAAGAAGAAGATGCTCAAAAATTTGATTTTCTCAGAAGCACACAATTACTAAGTTCTAGAGCTATAACTAAAATTCAGATTTGACTTCAAAACTGTTTCCCCTACCTTGTTTCTATAAAAACTCAATTTCGTAAATCTTTTTTTTTTTTTTGAGACGGAGTCTCGCTCTGTCACCCAGGCTGGAGTGCAGTGGCCGGATCTCAGCTCACTGCAAGCTCTGCCTCCCAGGTTTACACCATTCTCCTGCCTCAGCCTCTGGAGTAGCTGGGACTACAGGCACCCACCACCTCGCCCGGCTAGTTTTTTGTATTTCTTAGTAGAGACGGGGTTTGACAGTGTTAGCCAGGATGGTCTCGATCTCCTGACCTCGTGATCCGCCCGTCTCGGCCTCCCAAAGTACTGGGATTACAGGCTTGAGCCACCGCGCCCGGCCAATTTCGTAAATCTTAAAAAAAAAAAAAAATGAAGCTCTGAACCTTGGCAATTATTTACAACAACAAAATCACACTGAAAGAAAACAATCTGCATTTACTCTGGCCTGCTTTATTACATAATTTTTTTTCCGAGAAAGGTGTGGTTAATTAATACCCTTTCTGAGTAAGGTATGGGTAATTAATACCCTCCAGCAATGAAGGTGTTCTACCTCTTAGCTTTTGTTCTTGCATTTAAAAAAAAGCACTGAATGCTTAATCAAATACTCTACTGAACACTCCAGATTAAAAAAACAACATATGTTGAAGATACATAAACTTGAATATGTAGTGGGACAGCAATTTAAAAGGACTCCCATGGTTTCTAGCTTTTTTCATCTTAATTTCTGCTTACTGTAGGAATCAGATTAAAAACAGGATGAAAGAACCCTTGCCCAAATGGGCCACACAAATAAACTTTTGTGATTCTTGTTTTCTGTCTTGAGTTCCATCATTTGCTCAAATTAACACATACCGCACACTGGGCTAATCTTGTCTCTCAACAAAAATAACATTATTTCTTTTATATAAATGATTTGTTTTAACCAGTTCTACATAAAAAATTTTTTTGAAGACATGGGGTCTCACTAGGTTGCCCAGCCTGGTCTCAAACTCCTGGGCTGAAGTGATTCCGCCTACCTCAGCCTCCCAAGCTGGGACAACAAAGGAAAACATCATTGCAACCAGCTAATTCTACATAACATTTTGACAGATTTTCCTAAGAGCTCAGTTCTTTTACAATAACTTAAAATTCTTTAACTGTATGATTAATTATATGCCATATATTTTATAATTAAAAACTAATCTCAATATATTATCTTTAAATTCATTTCAGAAATTAAGTTGTATATAGTTATAAAGAAGCCAAATCTCTTTCTTCACACAATAAGCTTACCAGTTATAAATGTCAACATTAAATTCAATCATTTGGAGAGTTTTCCTTTATAAAGTAATACAGAATGAAAAACTTACAAACTACTAAACAAAATTTACTTAACAAATATCAAAGCCTCCACAATTGCTTTCCATAATATTGAAAAATATATATATGATACTTTTTACAGGGCAACAAATGCCTAATTCAGCACTACTTCAGGACTAAATCAGAAATGTGGATTTTTGTTTTATTTTTTGTTTTGTTTTATAAAATGAGACAGGGGGCCAGGCATGGTGGCTCAAGCCTGTAATCCCACCACTTTGGGAGGCCGAGACAAGCAGATCACGAGGGCAGGAGATGGAGGCCATCCTGGCTAACATGGTGAAACCCCGTCTCTACTACAAAAACACAAAAAACTTGCCGGGAGTGGTGGCGGGCGCCCACAGTCCCAGCTACTCGGGAGGCTGAGGCAGGAGAATGGCATAAACTCGGGAGGCAGAGCTTGCAGTGAGCTGAGATCCGGCCACTGCACTTCAGCCTGGATGACAGAGCGAGACTCCGTCTCAAAAAAAAAAAAAAGAGACAGGGTCCCGCAATGCTGCCCAGGCTGGTCTCAAACTCCTGGGCTCAAGCGATCTGCCTGCCTCAGCCTCCCAAAGTGCTGGGATTACAGGCGTGAGCCACCACACCCGGCCAGAAATGTAGATTTCTAATCTTAGTTTGAGTGCTGACTTCCTCAACAAAATCCAATCCTTTAAATTCATTTTATTTTATAAAAAGATAAATATATCTCTAACCTAGATGTGTTAAGGAATCTGAACATTTACCAAACATTTAAATGTCATAAAAGGGCTTACATCGATTTTATCAATATACATAGTTAGTAAAAAATAATTACACTAGGCTTTTAAAAAAATATTAATTTATCTAAATTTTGGGAAAATATTGTTCTAACTACCTTTTTCCAGTCTTCTGATGGAATGTAATCTTCATCTTCTTCAGATTCTTCTTCTACTTCACTGTCTAGAATAAATAAGACACCAATACTATAAAATGACTGCTTAAGCTGTCTACATCTACAAATTATTTTTACATCTACCATCAAATATTTGGATATGCTCAAAAGTATCTAATGAATTAAGCCAAGATATTTCTAACCAAATAATTAACACCCTATCACTTAAAAAAACAAAACCAAAAAAACCATTAACTTTCTACGTAACTGTATTCTCATGAAATGATTTCCTATAAAAACTTATGGGAAAACACCGATTTAGAATAAAGATAATATTACCTTACTACATATTTCATGACAGTTTATTTTTCTTCAAGTGTTTTTCTTCTTTTTAAACTAGAGAAATTTAGGTGTATTTATCAATATACCTAAAAAAGGCTAAGAGGCAAAGAAAGTAAAAAATGGAAACTAAGGGAAAGACTATGAGAAATAAAAATATGACCATGAAACAAACATTTAAAAACAGGGCAAGGAAAAAACAAATACAACTGAAGTCAAGCAGTACATGACACAATTACCGTAGTATATTCACTAACAACAGGGACCGTGCATTACTAAACTAATAACTTACAATAAAAATCCATTTACTGTTGAAAAGAATTTCAGACTAAATGAATTTAAAGACCAGTTTAAAAAATGAGGATTTTAGGTAATACCTAAAATAGTAAAAATTATATTCAAATATTATCAACCAGTAACACTTACTTGTATCAAAATATTTACATCGACGTGGGCGGATAATTTCCTGGGCATCTTGAGAAGCAACAGATTGTGATGGATCATCATTGGAAGACTGAGTTTCATCCTCCTGACCTGATGAATCCTTTATATTCTCCTCCTGAGGAATAATAAATGTAATTTCTTTAAGATGTAAAGAAAATGGTTGCAGATGAAAGGCCATAGCATATAAATTTTGTTCTAATATAAGCAGAAGACTAAAATGAATATACTAGATGTAATATCGTATTCTGGGTTGGATCCTGCAACAGGAAAAAGTACATTAGCAGAAAAACTGGTATAATTCAATCTGCAGTTACTAGCACCGTACCAAGATGTTAACCTCAGCAGAAGCGGATCATATAGGAACTTTCTATACTAGCTTTAAAAGTTTTATAAATCTAAAATTATTTCAAAATAAAGAAAAATAAACACAAACTGACAATTAGCCTTCATTATTTAAAAGCAATAGCATTTTTCTGAAAGTTGGTATAAATGGCCAGGTGTGGTGGCTCATGCCTGTAATCCCAGCACTTTGGGAGGCCAAGGCGGTTCATGAGGTCAGGAGATCGAGACCATCCTGGCTAACGTGGTGAAACCTTGTCTCTACTAAAAATACAAAAACTTAGCCAGGTGTAGTGGTGGGCGCCTGTAGTCCCAGCTACTTGGGAGGCTGAGGCAGGAGAATGGCGTGAACCTGGGAGGCAGAGCTTGCAGTGAGCCAAGATAGCGCCACTGCACTCCAGCCTGGGTGACAGAGCGAGACTCCATCTCCAAAAAAACCACACAAACAAAAAAAGAAAGTTGGTATAAATAAATTAGAATAAGCACTGGAAAAAAAAGAAACCTGAAACGAGAAGACCAAACTGTTACCTCTCAGGAGCAGATTACAGGGGATTTCCAATTTTTATGTTATGTATTTCTGTAATATCTTAATGTTTAACACTTTTAAAATCAGGAAAAGTAAAGATTATAAAAACAAGTAATCAAAATGTATTAAGAAATTTTAACTTCAACAAGAATAAAGACTATAATCTTATATGTATGTACACTTACTTTATTTTCCCCACTACAGCCACTGTTGTCATCATTATCAGCATCTTCATCATCTTCACCTTCTTCTTCCTCTTCCTCCTCTTCCTCATCTTCTTCAGGTAGTCGAACAGTACTACCATAACCATAAAGGCTGAGAAGTTCATGAATTGGCATGTCACCTTCCTATAAATAAAAATAAAAGTTAATTTCTGAATCAGTGATATTTCTGATTCCCAGGCTATAATCCACAAATCTGTGGAGTATTCATTCTATACTGAAGAATAAAAGCTGTATCATGAATTCTCAGATCATAAAAAAGTAAAACTGAAAATATTTCTGAAACCCATGAATATCCCAATCTTTTTAGTATTTCTATAAAATTAACCAATTCCAATTGCTGACAAGATTTTTAAGTATAATTAAAAAGTAGCCTTGGTCTAACATGGACTATTCTTTTTGCAATCAATTCAATATATGCACAATGACAGTTAACGTTATGCATGGATGCCCACTCTTAATAAGAGTACCATACTTGAGGGTGGAGAAATAGAACAACGAGAATTAGACTATAAATTAAGTTAACAAACCCAGAAAGGCAGATGAAATTCAGAGCATCCAGAGCTCAGCCCGAACACATGAAAAAAAAAACCAAAAAAAAAAAAAAAAACCACTAGTAATATACAGAAATGATAATGGACTACATTAACTATATATTCTTTTCTATGGTTATCTCCATTTACACATAAAATTATCTCATGCAATCCTTACCATCTATCATACCGACTTGTTATATTATTTCCATTTCATAGATGAGAAAACAGAGGCTGACAGCTTAAGCATTTCTTCAGAAATCACACAAGTTACAAGGAGTAGAGCCAGATTTAAACAGTCTAACTCCAAAAGCCCATATTCATATCAATACACCACGGTGCCTTGGCCAGGGACTTCCCTCAATCCCCACAAAAATCAGACCCTCTGTGGATGCAAAAGAAATGTCCATATGCAATGAAATGAGATCAGCTTTCTATACAAACTACTCACTCTAACCAGTAAACAAGAAAACAAGAAATGCACAGCATCAGGGAAACGTTAACAGAATTCTGATTATAAAAAGAAAATTTAATCCAAATCATGTGAACACATTATACACTCATGCACACCCACATACAATGCACATGGTCTGAAGCAAAACAGTCAAAAAATCATCAGTTTAGAAGCTAGAAAAAAAGGGTAATCATGAATAAGACATGGTTCATATTTCTCCAGCAGTCATGGAAAGAAAGAAATAAGTCTAGCTAGTGTGTTAAACACATTGCTACAATGGGTATGGGTAAATCAGACTGGATTAGATGACACAATTAACCTCCATCACTCAAAATCCATGTGAGAAAAAATTAATGATTATAATTTGAAAAGATTTTCTTATGAAGAACTAGGAAGAAGGCATCATCCAAAACTTCTATCTCACATTACAAATGGATATTCTGGTTATGAATGAGTTTGTGAATCTATTTCTGAAAGATAAATTCCAAGACCCCTAATGATTTGCAGAAGCTACAACCTGAAAAAGTGGTAACTTTATCAAGGCAAGGTATTGCCACTCTAGCTAAATAAGCCGCTGGCAAACAACTGATAGCTCTTATACTGTGTTTCTCAAAGTACAACACCAACAGTGCTTTAAGTGTTCAAGTATCTGGTCCATGTACCAAGGATCTGGTACAGGACATTGGTATTTGGGAATGTGGGAAGTCAGTCCTTAGGAACTAAAACAAAACTTCGAAATAAGAGACAGAAGTGTAATAAGAGAAATGTAATGAAAAGGCTAGATTTATTTTTTTGAGACAGAATCTTGCTCTGTCACCCAGGCTGGAGTGCAGTGGCATGATCATGGCTCACTGCAGCCTCAACCCACTGGGTTCAAATGATCCTCCCACCTCAGCCTCCCAAGTAGCTGGGACTATACATGTGCACCACCATGCCTGGTTAATTTTTGTATTTTTCATAGAGAAGGGTTTCACTATGTTGCCCAGGCTGGTCTCAAACACTTGGGTGCAAGTGATTTGCCCACCTTGGCTTCCCAAAATGTAGGATTGGAAACGTGAGCCACCGTGCCCAGCATAAAGCTAGTTTTATACACAAGAATAATAAATAGCTGCCATAAAGTGTCTTCTATGTGTCAGGCATTTGTGATAGGTACTTTGATTTCATTGTCTTTTTTTCTTGCAACAATGAAAGCAGTGTCAAAACACACAATTCCATTAAATCTGCACTGATAGAGACTTTATTATAATACACAGACCTCCTAATCTCAGGTCATTTAACTTTGCTTAGGCTCACACCCTGCACCCCAAAATCAGAAGCAAGTTTAGCAACTGATCACTATTGTGAAGAAAAGCCACTGAAGTCACTAGTATGAATAAGGGCCCCAAAAAGATAAAACATAAGCGTAACAGTTTGCAACTAAAATTTACATAGGCCTTAAGAGTTCATGAAAAACTTGTTTCATTATTTGATCCTCAAAACTATCCTGTTACTACTACCTTTAATTTTTATAACTGTGTTATAACTAATCCTTTGAAATCACACAGCTAATTACACAGCCGTGCTCTATTTTGAACTCATCTTCTGACAAGATCATGGTACTTGGTTCACTCCAAAAAAAGAGGTGTATAATCAACCAAATAAATGCCCTCAGACTCTCTACCATTGGTCTGTCTTAAGGGCACCCGAATTACCTTGAGGGTTTACTAAAATGGGCTGCTGAGCCTCACCCAAGTTTCTGACCTAGTAAGTCTCCAGTGAAGCCTGAGAACCTACAATTAAAAAAAGAAAAAAAAAAATCTCAGGCGATGCTAATGCTGCTGGTATGAGACTACCTTGGAAACCACTAATCTCACAGGTCAGGATGAGATACCTGCAAATCACCTTATCCAATGGGAGGTAATAAAGCTTGAACATTAACTTTAATAAAGCTTATCATATGACATATGATATCCAGCTCAAATATTTGTCAAAAGGATAGGTGACATACTAACTACACGGAGAAAAAATTTTTCTTTTTTAACCATTATCAAGAATGTAGAATGTCTGACAATCATAGTTAGATTAAGGTTTTTCCCTCTTGGATATACAGATGAGAAATGTGACTCACTTTATAAAAATTCATTTCTCAGGCCAAGCGCAGTCGCTCACGCCTGTAATCCCAGCACTTTGGGAGGCTGAGGTTGGCAGAACACTTAAGGTCAGGAGTTCAAGACCAGCCTGGTCAACAACGCAAAACCCCAACTCCACTAAAAATACAAAACAATCAGCCACAGGCATGGTGGTGCACACCTGTACTCTCAGCTACTCAGGAGGCTGAGGCAGGATAATTGCTTGAACCCAGGAAGCAGAGGTTGCAGTGAGATGAGATCATGCCACTGCACTCCAGCCTGGGTGACAGAGACTGTCTCAAGAAAAAAAAAGGAAAAAGGAAAAAGAAAAAAATTCATTTCTCAAAGAAAAATTCTCCAACACCTCCAATATTGACTAAGCAGAGAACAGAGAGTCAAAAGTGGACTGATCACAGTGCATTTAGAGGGGGAATGCTTGAATTACAATCGTAATAGAACTGGCACAGATGGAGAAAAATCATTCAAGTCACAGCAAATAACAAATGCACAGGTACAGAAACAAAAATGAATAATCCAGTCACCCTGATTAGAGCAGACATACCATTTATAGTAACTAAAAAAAAAAAAAGTATCATTTCAGAAGGCTACACATTACTGAAAGATCAGTTATAGATTAATGAAAGTAAGGATTACTATTTTTAACTACTTTCTCTAGTTCTATGTAATTTTTAAAGGGATCTGTTATATTCCTGACTCAATTTGAGCATACTGAATGGTTACTAACACTATGGAAGTATTTAGGGGAAATTACACACACAATAAAACACTCAACATGAACTTAGGCAGGCGAAGATTTAGTTTGCTTGCCAAGCAGACTGAGCCAAGTGGGAATCCACTGCTATCATTCACTACACATTCACCTGTATTATGATCAGAAACTAAATGAAATTAGTGGTTGTGGAAAAGACAAAATTTAAGAGACGCAACAGGATTCAACCAGGGATTAGGAGAGATGGAGGTCCTGGTGATGCTGAATCCCTGGTTCCATATATTCCTTGTACCCAACTACACATTCATATACCTTCTAATAGTTTATTTTTACACAAGGTTATTTTTAGATGGATTTTATCAAATGTAAACAAAATATCCTTACTTACTCAATCAACAAAATGCTTACTTATGCTGGGCACAGTGGCTCACACCCGTAATCCCAGTACTTTGGGAGACTGAGGGGGCAGATCACTTGAGGTCAAGAGTTCAAGACTGGACTGGCCAACACGGTGGAACCCCATCTCTATTAAAAATACAAAAACTAGCCAGGCATGGTGGTGCTGGCATGTAATCCCAGCTACTCAGGAGGCTGAGGCAACTGCTTGAACCCAGGAGGCAGAGGCTGCAGTGAGCCGAGACTGTGTCACTGCACTCCAGCCTGGGCGACAGAGTAAGACCCTGTCTCAAGAAAATTTAAAAAAAAAAAGAAAAAAAAATGCTTACTTAATAGTATTAAACTTGTAACTCAGCTGTCACCCAATATCAGGTGAGTAATATCAGCTTAGTAAGCAACAAAGAAAAAATCATCACCACCAAAAATACAACTTGAAGCATGACAGCATAAAAAGTCTCTTATTTAATCTAAGGTAAAAGTGAAAATCTTGCAGCAAACTCTGGGCTACAACTACAATAAAAACCAGAATCAATTTTGCTGAGGAATCCTGTTTCAAATTGCAATAGCATGTATTTGTGTTCCTGCTTTGTGCTAACTGAAGTACTTAAAGATTTAGCAAGCATAAACAAGCATCACATAAGGATTATTTATTTCCCCTGCAAGCCTCTCCTACTCTCTTCTACTTCTGTACTTTGAAATGTTCTTTCTTCCATTCCAAACATTTATTTTCCTTGAAAGTTCACCTCCTGGACCACAGCAGCTGACATAATTGGAATCACTGTATTCTCTGGCCATATATTTGGAGTGGGCACATGACCCACGCTTGTCCATACTTTAGTTCTGGATTTTTATCAACAGCAACTTAAGAAAGAAGCACAGACTATCTCAAGAAGTAAATGTGGGAG